CATTCAACTGTTTAGATTAATTACTTGCTAACAAACAAAAAAATCAACAACAAAAAAAGAGGTGTCATCTTTTAAACAAACATTAATTTACAATACCAGAGGATGCTTCCAGATTAATACAATTCATCATAGCCTTGATGTTCTTGAGTAAAGAAGTTTAAATGAGTTTTCTCTATGTAATCCCTATTATGACCCCTTCTACCCCGGGGGCCCATAATTTTAACAATTTAGAACATATATTACCTAGGAAATTCTTTCACTTAGTTTCAGCTTTTCTGGCCGAGTGGTTCTTGGGAAGAAAATTTTTACACATATATCCCTATGTATTTCAATGTAAAACTTTGAATCCCTATTGTGGCCCCACCCTAACCATTTGTGCCATTATTTGAACAATTAGGAATCCACAATACCTCAGAAAACTTCATTAGTTTCAGCTTTTCTGGACCAATAGATCTTAAGAATTTTTATTGACTTCACCCTATTTTTGCCTTCTCTTGATTATCTCTATTTTGAATAGAATCCCCATTACCCTGGGAAGCTTTACACCAAATAAAGTTAAAGTTTACGAACAAACGGACAACGGGTGATCAGAAAAGCCCACTTGAGCTTTCAGCTCAGGTTAGCTAAAAATGGAAGAGTTTGACCTAAATGACCAGATCGTCCTGTACTATGTGTGGAAATGTGTAAAATTAATGGTGGAAAAAAACTTTTTCTACATATGTTCCATCTGATGCTCTTAAATGTTTTCATCCTTTACAACAAATATAGCATCAACTTGGAAAAAAGAGAAAAGGAGTTCCGTGTTTAGGTTGTGAAAGCCCTTTTGGATTCAGCACCCTGCTCTGGCTGAGGAGGAATGGGTTCCGAGTGCAATAAAAAACTTACGGAGCATTTTCTACACAACATGCCACCCAAAGAAGGGACGAAAAGAGAAAAAAAGTGAGACTGTAAGCTTTGCGTTGTTTCAAGTAGTCTTTGTCTTAATTCCTGTTTTGAAAGATAATACAACCTTAAACAAGAGGCCCAAGGGCCTTAACGGTCACCTGAGTATAACACAACAATTTAGAAGTTAAATACACTGATAGATGAAGCATTGTTGCCCCAAAGCAAGAGAAGTAGGAAGATCAGGATCAACAAAATAATTAGTCTAGTATTCAGTATCAAGTCATAAATTATGTTCTAAGCTGTCCCCCACTTAACACTATCACCATGCAGACTATAAACAAACTATTAGTGCTTCTGTACTATTTTTAAACCCATATTAAGACCTCTAGCATTGACCTCTCTTATGGTCTTTGAAGAACTTTTAATAAGATAAGTTATTTTTGTCTCATTTTTATTTATCTATTACTTACAGGTCTACCTGATTATTAAAACTAAGAAAGTACTTTTTTAATTATACGATAAACATTCTTGCATAATTATCTTATTCTATAATTAACCTTTCAAATACATTATTTACAGTGATTAATTATCAAAGGTGAATGGAAAAGGGGAATAACTTCTCTCAGTAGAATACAAGTTAATAGAGCCCTGCCGAGGACCAGAATGCTTAGACGAATGGTCCAGATGTTAAAAAATCTGGTAGAAATATGCTTACTCATATCATTTAAACTTTTACTCAGTTTGCTTCCGATATGCCCAGAAGCAGAGAAGAATTTCACAGGTACAATGCATTTTCACTACAGATTCAACAAAGCCTTACCCTAACACCAGAAACCAAGACCAAGGGTCAAGAAATTTACAAATTTGGAAGAGTTACCCTCATCATCATAACTATGGACTTCAAAGAATTAACACTTTTCCACTATATTATCACCCCCCCCCCTCGTTATGCCAGAACCCCTGACCCTAGGACCACAAGATTTAAAAATTCTGTTCGAAGCTCCCATTTTCATCACAGCTAAGCAATTTATTTATCAGCTCAACACTTAGGAGCAGACAGGATTAGTTAATGATTAATTAATAGAATTAATGCTTTTTCACTATATAATCAATAGAGCCCCCCCTCCTCAAGAATCCCAAAAACTGAGGCCATATATTTAAAAATTTTGAAAGAGGCATCCTTGTCTATCATAATCATGCACTTAGTTTGTTTAAATAATCTCCAGTAGCAGAGAAGAAGATTTTCAAAGAATCAATGCATTTTCACTATATAATCAATAGAGCCCCGCCCTAACACCAGAACCCCTGACCCTGGGCCCATGAAATACACAATTTTTGAAAAGGCATCCTTATGCATCATAACCATGCACTTAGTTTGTTTAAATAATACCAAGGAGCAGAGAAGAAGATTTTCAAAGAACTAAAGCATTTTCACTATATAATCAATAGAGCCCCGCCCCAACACCAGAACCCCTGACCCAGGGACCATGGCTTTCACAATTCGGGAAAAGGCCTACCTCCTCATCATAACTATGTACTTAGTTTATCACCTTAATGCCCAGGAGCAGAAGAGAAGATTTTCAAAGAATTGATGCATTTTCACTATATAGTTGATAGAGCCCCGCCCTAACACCAGAACCCCTGACCCTGGGGCCATGAAATTCACAATTTTGGAAAAGGTACTCTTGCTCATCATAACTATGTACTAATTTACTTTATTAAGTATCCAGAAACAGAGAAGAAGATTTTCAAAGAATTAATGCATTTTCACTATGTAATCAATAGAGCCCCGCCCTAACACCAGAACCCCAGACCCTGGGGCCATGACATTCACAATTTTGGAAAAGGCACTTTTGCTCATCATAACTGTGTACTTAGTTACTTTATTTAAAACCCAGGAGCAGAGAAGAAGATTTTCAAAGAATTACTGCTTTTTCACTATATAATATATACAGCCCCGCCCTAACACCAGAACCCCTGACCCTGGGGCCATGAATTTCACAATTTTGGAAGAGGCACTCTTGCTCATCATAACTATGTACTTAGTAACTTTATTTAATACCCAGGAGCAGAGAAGAAGATTTTCAAAGAAATAATGCACTTTCACTATATGATCTATATAGCCCCACCCTGGGGCCAGAACCCCTGACCCTGGGGCCATGAATTTCACAATTTTGGTAGAGGGCTCAATGCTTATTACAATGATGCCAAAAGTTTGACTGCTTGATGTTCAGGACTAAAGAAGAAGATTTTTAAAGATTGCATTATTTTTAGTGGTTTTAGCCCCACCCCTCAGGCCCCGGGGGGCAGGGACCACGAAATTCACAATTTTTGTTCCCCTTCACCCATAGTTGCTATATACCAAATTTGGTTGAAATTGGTTGAGCGGTTCTAGAGAAGAAGTTAAAAATGTTCAAAAGTTAACGCACGACGGACGACGACGGACAAAAACAGATAGCAATAGGTCACCTGAGTGACTCAGGTGACCTAAAAATACAGAGAATAAGTGATAGTGATTAGTAAAATTTACTCAGAATAAAGAAGGTACTGATTCAATACATCTTTTAAAACATAAATATGTTCGAAAAATTAAAACTACGTGTTCAAAGTCCATCAAATTGATCGTTTCTTTTTCTTACATGACTCCCTTGATGCCGATTGTGACGTCGTGAACTTTTGTATTTTCCAGTATTCTCTTAAATATTTACAGAAGACAATTTTTAGTGAAAATTTCATTAGAGATAATGCTGACCATATTGCATAGCCTTAACTTTAAGATAAGTGATTTTCCCCTAGATTCTTACTTAACATAACCAATAACTGAAGTGGGCGGCGGCTGTGGACACTATTTTTCTTAGGGAAAAAACCCTCTAATGAGTTATTTTTCGGCTTAAATTTTATGCTAAAACTTAGAAATGTTATAATTGATTGAAATCATTGTTCCAGACGGTCCTTCGTTGTGCCATAGTCTTTCTTGTTATCGCACTCATATGTTAACCTCATAAATACTCAGCTACTTAAAGGAAAGCCAATGATGATTCTATGAATTGGCCAAAATATCTGAAATAGTTAAGGGTCGAGGGGGAGCCAAAATATGGGCTTTAAGAAGCCCTAAATAGGCAATCGGCAATCCTCGGCTGACTCCGCTACGCTCCATTCAAACCTCGGATGTAATTGGTCGAGGAATAAGCATCAAATCGATATATTTCTCCGCCGGAAACTGCCTTGTAACTCATTTCATATTTCGCTCTGCATAAAGTTCTTAGAAACGGTTTCTTAACTTGTCAAATTTTTCATTGTATATTGCTTTTAATTACAACAGTATGTTAGAAGTCTTTGAAAGCAAGAACATAGTGTTGGGCGTGCCACACATTAACTCAGTTTTCAAAGAATGACATTTGAAAGAAATTCAACTAAGATCACATGACTGACTTAGCAAGATGGTAGAACACCTCTGACGTCCGAGGTTATGTGCGAGGTACGAGCCATCCGAGGAACTCTGAGTACTAAATAGGTTTAAATGAGTGATAAATATTGAAGTGTAACAGTTTGTTACATCCTGACCTGGCTGAATAAACCGCCATGCTATTGTAAGGAAGTCTGAACCATCCATACGTTTGTGTTTACCTTACTTGGAGATAAAACCAAACGTCTGGATGATGCAGACTCTATCAAAACACGGAATAAACAACTTGAATATACTACACGGACAGAAAAGGACACCAATCAATGCGAAATAAGTACCGAAAACATTGGAAAACACTAGTTCATATCGGATGTTAGGATTCAAATTAGCGGAATTCCGCTATATCTCGGAACAGAATCATCACTGGAAAGCTGACATCTCATTTGTGAGTCTTAGTGTATCTTTGGTACGTCGTAAAATAAAATTATAAGTAGCAAACATAAATACATCGTCGCAAACCACGGTTTTGAGTCCACAAGCTACCTCAAACCCGTGGTTGTTCGATATTTGCTTTGCTTGTTTCTCATGAATTATGCATAAACCGGGGAAAACAATCAAATTTCATCCGAGCAAAATTTCACTCGGCGCGCCTGAAAATTTCCAACCAATCACTTAACACCTTTCAAATGATATTCGGATTCGATTAGCAATGGCGGTGCCCTGTATGACGAAAGTAAGAGAAGTACTTGAAGTGGAGAAATTGAACTCACAGCAAGAGAAAGCGATCAGTAGCCTTTTGAAAGGAAAGGATGTCTTCCTCTCTTTAAGAACAGGTGGGGGGAAATCGCTGTGTTACATGGCCTTTCCTATTTTTTATGAACATTGTGAAACTGAAAGTAACACTCTTGTTCACTGGTATGTGTGTTTTCAAGGACATGCATCCTTCAATATTATGATATTTGAACAGCTTGGTGCTCAAAAAAGTAAACAGGTCCAGTACAATCGGTACATTTACCTACGTAGCTAAAATTACCTACCTCAGGTAGCTTTATTTATTTAGGCAATTTTTCAAAATTTTGCTTTTTATGTTAAAAAGACCAAAAAAATGCAAATAAATGACTACTAATATTTATACTACGGGTTATTTAAAAAGCAATCCAAAGCAGAGATAGTTTTGACATTGCTGCGTTTGAACACTTTCAAGGAAGTGATTGCAAGGCGTCACGTGATCAACTCACGTGATGTTTAAAAAAAGATGTACGGTAACCATTTCCGGAATAACAGCTGAATAAGGAGCGTGATTATGATTACGCCCATGACAAAAGGTCTTCGTGGCAATATTTTTAAAACAGAGAAAGAATAAGATAAAGTGTTGGTGAGCGTCGATGCAAATTTTTTTATCCCTGTGTTTTTTTCCTTTTGACACGTCTACCTTTTGTCGTAGTTCTGAACACTGAAATCCATTTCATGAATAAATTTAATTCATATCTGGATCTTTATGTCCTCTAGTTTTATTTAAAATATTAGAATTTTATTTGAGATCGGTTTCTATACTATAGGATCTACATCTATGAATAGATATTCATTTCCTAGAAGCTTCAGACGGCGTGATTTTCTAAGTGATTATAATGAATATAGGCCTATTTGGATGAACAGATAAACGAATGCGATTTTCATATATACGTGTATAGACCAGTTTGAGGTCGCATCTTGACATGAACGTAATTTTAAAAATATCGCAGAGGAAATTGTTTTCATCTGTAAGATCTTCTCTAGCATTTTCAACTCTTACATCGACCATATAAACATTGAATCGTCGGCACATATGCGTAAGCATTTCTTGTGATAAAATGTTTTTTGCGTCGTATTTGGTAAAAAATTGAAACTTAAACACACTTCTTCTGACAGAAAAGTTTCTTTTTGCAAGTTTTCACAAATCTAGCAAAAAATACGCGTGTAAGAATGACAGACGAAACTAAGAGAGGTTAACTCTGACGATCGAGGTACTACGGAGGTACCAGGAAAATTATTTTTAGCATATATAACGTTACATTTAAAAAAAAAACATTTCAACTCGTCATGCTCACGGGAATATATTTGAAAAATGAATTTAATTTTTTTAAATTCACGATGACGTGAACAAAGACGCTTCACCTCAGCATATATTATGAACCGCTTGAGCATGAAGCGCAAATTTATAAATGTCATTCAACAATTATTTTTGAAACAAAACAGTTTGCACTATAGTTTTGACGTCAAGTGTGGCATTATGACGTCACAATGGAGATATATGTAGGCTTACCTAGTTCATGAGATGAATTGTTTTCTAACTTGTGATGAATCTGAAGGGAAAATATTTGCAAATGTAAATATTAAATAGCAAATCACTAAAATTTGTCAAATAAGATAATAACTAGGATTTTTATATACGGTATATATTGCAGGTACAAGTTCTCTGAAATAACCTTTTCATTCAATGTGTTCAAGTGACTACCTCCCCTCCCACCCCCACCCCCCACCCCCCTTTCCGATTCCAAGTCACAGTGCAGAGAACTCGATGAGTGTTCAGAGCATGAGCAATTTGGCCCTTGGACCACTGTGAACTGGTTTAGAATATATATATCTATATTGATATAATAATGGAATGAATATTTTGGAGATGGGAAAATTAAAAAAAATATGCATATTGTTGTTTTTTGTGTACACTGTTCGTATCAGGTGATACATGATACTTTTATCATTCTGCTCTACGTATAAAATGAGCAACCACCACAAGATTTCCCCCCCCCCCCCAAAAAAATCTATTAATCTATACGTGTTTTCTATAGTTTTTTAAACAGATTATGCATATCTTTAAATATTTTAGGAAGGGGGGGGGTTATTGAAATGCATGTAGCTTAAAAAAGAATGTGATGACCCCACTTCATTTTTTAACCATAAGTCACTTATAATAATTGTTACAAAATATATTTATTTTAGGAAAATTCATTGGGTAATTTTTATTCAAGACGTTGAAAACTGCTCTTGGGGTGAAAATATTACTGTAAATTTACAATGACAACTCCCCAAAGCAACTGTGGCATTACTACATCTATCAATAGTTTCCGATACAATTTTTATTTTCAATGAATATAAAGCATACTATTTAATATCTGGTGAAAATTATTTAATTTGTTTCAATTTTGATACCTGTATGGCATACTTAAAATTTCACTACATAAATATCAAAATATTAAAAAACGGTGGTTACCATGGCAACCATATCTTTCTTATAACCCTGATGACCTTGGTTGACATTTTCATATTATGATACCATTAACGTAAGGCAAATTATATGTAAAAATGAGAAAAATTCATAGAGCGGATTTTTTTCATGGACCCTTGCAATCTCTTCCTTAAGGAAAAGATGTATTTCCACTGTTTGAGTAATTGTACACCACATTGTGTGCGATGAGGCGTGGATAAGTATGATTCTTTCTCATTGTACTCATGTTAACCAGAACTGGTTTTCTTTGTTATTTCATACAAGAAGTAACTGTTTGGTCACAAATTAACTGTTGTATATAGCGCCAAACTTTTAGAACTTTGATTCTCCCTCCCACAACTAGTTGTGGAGGGGATATAGCATTTGCCTATTGTCATATTATTGTGCATATCTTGAGACAGTCTGTATGAATTAAAAGTGTCATCTCTGACACTGAGTAATTGAAATAATTTGATAAACATCACGGTTTCATTACAAATTTCCACACGTGTCTGTGTAAAATATAAAATTTATTTTTGAGGCACAGGTAATTCATCAAAGCTATAAAGACATTTCACAAGTTTCATCGACCTCTAAACATCGGTATATTATCATTTGTAATTACAAAAAGGTATTGCTTCCAAGGGTATTCTCAGATTTGATGCATATTGCATGTAACTGTGAGATATACTCAGGTGGGTAAATGTAAATTACAGAAATTTAGAGCATACGTGATATGTTTCTGCTAGGAATAAGGGAAACTGCCCAATCATGTATGCATGTTATGCCCCCACCTCCCCAACTAAGATCCTATACACCATGATTTTTGTAAAAAAACAAAAAAAAAAAAAAAAAAAGATGGAACCCCCCCCCCCCCAAGATGATACCCACTTTCTTTTGTTAAAAATTTAATTAGTGTTGCAATAAATTTAAATTTCTTTACCTTATTTTAAACTTGATATAATAGTAATACTGGGTGCCCTTGATTACTAGATGAATATATCTTGTTTAACGTCCCTCTTGAGAATTTTTCTCTCGTATGGAGACATTGCCATTACTGGTGAAGTTCCTGCCATGAGGGGAAGCTCCACTTCGCGGTGCTCTTGTTGAGAGTGCGCAGAAAGAGAAGCATCTCCGAGTTATTTTTTCATGAATTGTTTTCAAATGAGTTCAAAGTTGAAAATTATTACTGCATCAAAGTGCAATTTTCTGCACTTTCTGGGAAAAATGCCACATTAAGAAATAAGTTTGATTTAGTAGCTAAATAAAGCTATGTAGGTAATTCAAGCCACGTAGCTAAATCTAGTGATTGTACCAGTAAAGACAATGTAAAGTAAGGTGACGGAATTAACCTGATTAAAGTGACAGATGGAGGACAAAGTTATTTCTTTTCTTGTTTAGCTTTAAACATACCCTAGACTGTTTTAAGAATTAACATTTGAGCACATCTCACTACTGAAAACAGGTTTTTAAATGACTTTTTAAAAATGTTACATGTTCTTAGCGGTAAATCTGATTTAAAAAGAGGTGTCACCTTTTCTGTACGGGCAACAGGAATTTAAATTTTCTCAGTTTTGTGTAAGATTTATATTAAATTTTCTCTTTAATATATTATCAGGTATCAACCAATTTAAATTTGGTCTCATTTATTCTTTTAGGGGAGAAAGTACAGAACATGTCCAAGCTTTCAGGGAATGGTTTTCACTAACAGGTGAGATAAGGTCGTTGATTAGCTGTCCTGCCCTTGTCATTACAGCCACTGATAGCAAGGAAGCAAGGAAAGTAAATAAAAAACGACTTGCTCTAAACAACTGTGTAGACATTATTGACAGTCCAGATAGAGAAAACATTAAATTATTTGTGCACAAGTTGAAAAACACTGTACCTATTGAGGTGACATTTGGCTGGTTATTAAAGGATTTATCCTTGAAAAAAAAAGACTGTACAAGAACACTTATATTTTGTTCAAGCATAAAAATTTGTGCAGATGTATACACTGCCTTTCTTATGGTATTAGACAAGTCTGTGATGGAATATGTTCATATGTTTCATTCTTGTACCTCTGAAAATGTGAAGGAAAAGATTAGAGAGGATATGAGTGATGAGAATGGTAACATTAGAGTTTTAATAGCTACTAGTGCAGCGGGTATGAGTGTGAATTATAGGGGCATCAACAATGCCGTGCATTATAGTCCACCTAAAGATATGGATAGTTTTGTTCAGCAGCTTGGGCGTGCTGGTCGTGATGGTAGTCAATCTTTTCATTTACTTATTTACAATAGCAGGCACACTCGCAAACTTGAACTTGACATGAAAAATTACATTGAAAACGTAGATAAGTGTCGTAGACTTCAAATGTTGGAGTCATATGATTCTTTTCCAAATGCAAAAGTTGTTAAACATTTGTGTTGTGATATATGCTTAAGAAATTGTGAATGTAATGACAAATGTTGTTTATTGTATCAGCATCCATATAACTTATTTCAAAGTGATGATGATTCTAGTGATGACAATTCTTGTATCTCAAATGAAACAGATTTGAGAGTGATGATGTTTTTGATTATGAAATGGATCCAGAGTTTGAATAAGATATTTACCACTCTGTTAGTTTCAGTTTGTTATGAAGTTTGAACTACATGTACAGTTAAACCTCGTTATCTCGAACTTGACAGGTCGGGGGAAAAGTTTGAGATATCTGAGGATTTGAGATATCAGAAATTCTTAAAGAATAAGTTGTCAGGACTTCCAAATTACTTTTACATATCCATGGTATTCGAGATATCGAAGTTCAACTGTATATACTATAGATATAAGCAAAAATGTAATTATATTTACACAAGTTCACTTATCACATATGTCATGAGTAGTATGACCGACACCTGAGGGGAGTATACAATGGGGGTATTGTGTAAGACAACAATGGGGAGAACAATGGAGGGGACAATGGAGACCCAGATGGCCTTGTCCGACTTATGGTTGAGTGCCCTTGAACAATGGTATACCCTTGACCTAGAAAGGGTAGAGTACAACTGAACAATGGGGTATAGAAAAAAGGGAACAATGGAGAGTGGGGAAAACCCAGTGACGTCAATAAAGTGAACAATGGGGTTGTATCTAATGTCAACAAGGGAATTTCCATGGACGACTGTAAACAATAAGTCATTGTAATGGTAAATGAAAGGAGATAATGGGGCGTGAGGATTCAAGAGAAAAAAAAGAGACAAATACATTGGAATTCTTTTGTTTAACTCCGGACTGATTTTCCTGTTGTGACCATGACCTACTTATTCATTTCTCAATAAAAGGAGATGAGAAAAAGAAATGATGATCATACTTTCGTCGAGAACACATCTGAGCACAAGTATTTTCTTAACACAATGTCAACGATAAAATACGAAATTAAGATTGCAGGAGAATACACGGGTTTTGAGACTTTCTTGAGAAGGGGAGCGGCTGTCAAAAAACTCGTCGATGGTTATATTGCAAATAACATGAATTCTACCTCCTGTGACTACTGTAAGAAACATTATGTTTTGAGAAGCAAACTCGTACACGAGAAACACTGTCTCGTCAGACTGGCTATGGAAGCTAAAACGGATGTCAGGAAGATGACGACATTCTGTCTGCGTGCAAACGACATCGAAGACGATTCATTTAAGGAGGAAATCTTAAGTATCCCAGAAGTTCTGAAAATAACCATGGCTGATCGTATTCCCTTCGATGATATGGAACAAGCTTACTACGAATCACTTTGGGAAGATTACTATTATGGCAGAATGGAATTTTTGTGGCCGGACGGAGTTTGGCGGAAAGAAGAACCTATGTGAATTCAAGCTGTAGGGACAGTCATAAAAAAACATTTTTTTATAGGTGAAATCATGTCATCATTTTGTTCATTATATTTCAAACACTTGTCAATAAATGTCATTTGAAAACGTTACGAATGTTTTGTTTTATATTCTTAAAAAAGGATAGGGGCATCTGTACATGGAATCGTGTGTTGTTTCAAGGAACAACTATGATGACATTCTTGTCAGAGGTATTTGCAAAGTTCTTGAGGAGAAAAAAAATAAACACTCCAATCTCCTCCGAATTTGTCGTGAAAGTCCATGGGGACTTGACTGTCAAACAATTCACTTGGTGACAAATGGCATCTACATCAGTAAGAGTTAAGATGTTTTCCAGACACGTGACAAACACTCATGATGAATATTTTGAAGTCCCCAGTCTGTTTCCGACTGTACAAATTCCTTTACAAACAGTTCTTATATCAGACACGTTTTTTTATCACGTGACCAAAAAAAAAAAAAAAAAAAAAAGACAAAAACAAAATGAAATATAATACAGATTTTATTCCTTCACGGTCTATGGTAACTAACATTTTATCTTAAAAAATATCAATGACATTGAAAAAAAAAATGTCCGAGAAATGATATGTATACTTTTTTTTAAGTGTTCATAAATATATTAACAGTCTCTCACAGTTTTTGTACAATTCTCAGGGTTTTTTCACCACTTGTAGAATTCATCGGGATTACAGGCTTCACATTGTAACATTCCCAATTGATTATGATGATCGTCCCGTTCATGACAAGGGATGACCTGCTCCAGCTCTGGTAAGATCTTTTCGATGTCACCTATATGTTTTTTCAAGTTTTGGTATTCCAGTGGTCTAAGACAGAGCCCCTTTTTAGTAGGGACGAGACCGGATTCACAGGAGGGTTTCCAATACTGTCGAACGTCGATGCAGGGATTGTCTTTCTTGACTGTGACGTAGACATTAAATCCAAGGTGCCATTTTCCATCGACATTTTCTTTTAAAGTTGCTTCAATCAGATCCAAGGTGTCGATCAGTGTTTTAAATGAGAGCAGTTTCAAACTGATGCCCTTTTTGGTGGGTTTCAGAAATGGCTGATGAATTTCCCATTCCCTCAAATCAACTCTGAGTTCTTCTTTCCACGTTTGGACTTTGACATAACGTCCATTTTCCAGTGCCACGGAAAAGCGAGGAGTAGACATGTTTTTCGTTTGGTGATCAAAATTAAAAATGAGAAAATGTCGATGGTGAGACTTTTATACTGGAAGTGAGAGCTACGTCATGGAAAATTCCTCGACGTCAATGGACATTTATTTGATAACAATGAAAGAAGAATGAGGGTAATGAGGCGGGGAAATGGAAAAATACAGAGAATACCAAAGAATACAACGGAAAACCCATGACGTCATACACATTGTCATTGAGACACAGAAATGGAAAAGTACAGAGTTATTGAATAACGAATAATAAAATGGAAAAACCCATGACGTCAAACTCCTTTGTCATTAAGAAACACACGGATAATGAAAATGACAAAAATAGACATGACCTCGATTTTCTTTAGAAAGATTACAATAGGAGAGAAACAATAAAGAAACGCACGAATAAGTTGTAGACGTATGAATAGAGAAGTTCTTTTTTCGAATCGTCATTTCACGTCTGCTACTCGACTGATCAAGATGACTTCCACGTTAGATGGAATTCCCAACCTGATAGAAACGGACTCTGCTGCCAATTTTGCTTGGGACAACACGTCCTCTTTAGAATGTGAACCCTCTGACTCTTGGGAGGCAGATAGCAATGCTAATTTTGCCTGGGGTTATCCAGATTCCTCCTCATCCAAGAAGAAATCAGAGGAGTACGTCACGGTACAAATGCCAGTGAAAAACATCCCTCCACCACCTCTACCTAAAAAGGAGGTTTCTGTCTGGAAGTACCCAGAATACGTCAACTTTTCCGAGCGTTATGCCAGTTTTGGGGATTGGCCAAAATATCTGAAGGGACCCAACAAAAAAGACCTGGCACGTTCTGGATTCATCTACACCAAGATCGGAGACAGAGTCACTTGTTTCTCCTGTGGCATGACCCTGAAAAACTGGGAACCTCTGGACGATGCTTACAAAGAACACCTTCGTTGGTCCAAGAACTGTACCTACGCCCGGATGGTAACAGATGGAAAATACGATGACTGGAGAAAGAGAACTTACAATGTTCGTCAGTAAATAAAATATGAAGGACTCTTGTTGTTAAAATGTGCTCCTTTGAAAGCTTACACTGAACATTTATTATCATGGACTTTTGCCTGCCGTGAATCCGAAACAACAGATCTAGGACTCGTATAGCACGTGCTCCGAGTCGTATGGACATAGATAGAACGTAGTAGTGAGGCAAGCATATGTACATGTATAAAAGTGTGTGACATTCATGTTTTTTGTCCTATTTGAAATCACGTGCTTTATGACGTTCCAATAAAAATAAAGAACTTTTTGTTTCTTTGTTTCTTTATCTCTGAGAGAAGGTATAAAAAGGTCTGTTATAAGGGAAGTCATGTCATTCATACGTCAGTCGTCAACAAGAAGTGACTCATGGAAGAGTACTTAAAAAAAATCTGGTACGATCCTCGTCATGCCGGGTCCTTTGCGGGACCCTCCAAATTATATCAAGTGGTGAAACGAGAGGGTAAATACGACATAGGCATGAAAAAAATAAAAAAAATTCCTACAAAACCAAGATGACTATTCACTTCAATAGAAAGTGCGTCGACGAGGCTTCAAGAGGAGAAGAGTCATCGTCCAGGGCATAGATTATCAGTGGGAAGCCGATCTCGCTGACGTCCAGAATCTGTCAGAGTACAACAACGGCATTAAATTCCTTCTGGTGATGGTGGACGTCTTTTCTCGCATGCTTTGGGTCAGACCTTTAAAAGATAGAAAAGCTAAAACCGTTATCGATGCATTCAAAGACGTATTCAGAGGACCGAGACACCCCAAAGCCATCCGCACCGACAAAGGTTCGGAATTTTATAACCGTTACCTCCAACAGTATCTGAAAGAGCAAGGAATAAAAATATATTATGCCCTCAACGAAACCAAAGCCAACTTTGCCGAAAGATACATTCAGACCTTAAAGAAACGATTATATCGTTACTTTACCCACGTTCAGAAATACAAGTACCTCGACATCTTACAAGACGTAGTCCGTTCCATCAACCACACTCCCAATAGGTCGCTCAATGGACGCACGCCGGCTTCGGTCAACAAAGAGAATGAAGAAGAAGTGAGACTTGATGCTTACCTAGCTCGACGCCGAAAAGACACTGCAACACCGAGGGTTAAGAAATCCTTTTCGTCAAAGAAGCGCAAAGCCTATACGTTTAAAGTGGGTGATCAAGTTCGAATTACGCATCTGAGACGAGCGTTTCAGCGCGATTACGATCAGACGTACACGGAAGAAATTTTCGTCGTCAGAGAGCGTTTTATCTCACAGGGCCTCCCCATCTACAAGTTAAAAGACATGATGGACGATCCGATTCAGGGTACGTTTTATGCCAGTGAGCTCCAGAAAGTGTCTAAAGACGAACAGACCATCTGGAGGATCGAGAAGGTCCTACGGAAACGCAAAGTTCGCGGCCAAGAAGAGGTTCTGGTGCGATGGTTGGGATGGCCCAAGAAATTTGACAGCTGGATTCCACGATCCGATATAAAAGAGACGTAACGCGTTCAAATACCCTCATTCATCGGAAAGATGTCGATGCGTATGGTCCTCAAGTCTAAGGACAGTCCCTCCGTCTACGGTGATAATCAACCGTGCGACT